GGCTCAGTGTTACTGTTCACTTTGTAAGGATTGGTGAAAAATGGCCTCTTAAGCGTGAAATTTGCCTGGTAGCCTAAGGCATATAAGTTCCTCACTTGATATCCTTGCCTTCCAATAAGTAGCAGTGAGTTTTTCTGGATTTCTTTTCTGCTTCAAGTCTTCAAGTATGGGGCTTCATACCTTTCAAGTGGTTGTTTGCATCAAATGTTGCTTGTACTAATAACTTCTATGAAGCACATATACACACAAAAATATGGCATGACACAACTTTTCAAGAAAGCAGGAAACTTGTACACTCATCTACTAAAATTTTTATATTTATTCATGTTGTATTTTCATGTAAAACTTTAAATCAATGCAATTAATACTCTTTATTGCTATTATTTTAAATTTTTGAGGCAAAGACTTTTGAATTCAGCGAGTATTTGTAGCACATAGTATCGCTTCCCACGTGGACCAAGACAAAATTTTTATTTGTTCAAAGAACGATTAAGGTGAAATATGGTCAGGAACAGCAAATCTTTTTATGATGAAGAGATCCATTTTTCAAGTTTGCAGCGGAAACAAAATGAAAATATTCATGCATCATAAGTTGCATGTTTTGTATAAAAAAATTCGTTGTGAAGTTCTTACAATTTTTCTCACATTCTGTTGATTCTTTTACGCCAATAGTTTCATAATTAAGCTTTTTAAGTTTGTATTCTAGAATTTACCAAATTGGGCTCATTAGTCCTTGTGTTTGAGGACACGTACATCACATTTTATAAATTAAAATGAAAAACTTATAAATACAGGAAATAATACCACATAACGTGTCAGCCATGTGTCGGAGAAATTAAATATGTGACCTAGAGTGTTAAGGAGATGAAGAAATTGGATGTGTCACAAGAGTGTCAAGGAGTCGATGTCTTGTTGGACAGGGACATGGCACCCTAGGAGGAGGATCCATGGTTCCCACATTCTTAATGTTCCAGTTCATGTCAGTGGACAAGAAAAGGAAAATCGGTCAAGGTTTTAGGCACGAAGTCTTAACGGTTACTTAAAGACAGCGTATACCATTCATGGGATAGCATTCAGCATGATTATATGGACGAGATGTGTACGAATTAACGAAAAATTGACATAAATGGATTGCAATAAACTGATGTTTGCTGCTGAAAAGAAGGGGAAAACTGAACCTGGGTATATGAACATAAATTCCAATAGCAATATGTAGACTTAGTTTTCTTTTGATTGAAACTAGTAACTAATTAATAAATGAAGGAATATTTGAGCCAGTTTTAGCATCTCATTAACTGAATTATTCGTATCTTGTTCGAACATGTTGATTATGTGATGCTCTTAGTATCTGCTGAAGATATGTATCTTTTCAATTAATTCAAGGGATAAATGTATCAGCTTAGATAATTTTAAAGAGTTGTCAATGTATATCTTCTTAAAAAGAAGAATGAGTGTGTTGGTTTTCTGGGTTTTTATCAAGCTCATCTGAGGGATCATTTTTCGGTTTTCAAATCAATTGTCTTCTTTACTGGTTGATGGCGATAGACTCTGCTTGCCTTTGCCTATTGCATATTTGGTATCTTATCGAGATTGTTTATGGAGTGTTGAAGGTAGTCAAGTTTTGAAGTTCATTTCACCTTGTGTACCAAAAGACTTTTATGGAATATAATCTGGTTGATTCTCTCTTCTTTGTAATGCTTTCTTCATTAGGAGCCTTTTCATAGGCTTGAGTCACTGAGGGAATTTCTTCATTCAGCTTGACATGTGTGCATGTCTTAATGGTTCTGAAGTGCTTTCCAGAATGATGATAATAATAATGATAGTGAACTTTTAATCTAAAGAACAATGATAGAATTTGGAAGTTCATTTGGATTTTGAGGTGAGCGTATTAGATTTTGGATCATGCTACATGTACAAGCTTTTTTTACAAACTCTCTTACTCACTATTCACAATGGAGATGGGGATTACAAGCTGACGTTTTTTAAATTCACGTGGGGTCCGTTAATTTTGTAAGAGTGAGTACACTATTTTGTCAATAAGATTTTGTCAAATATCTTTATCCTTAGATTTTCGTGCATGACATTTTATTAGATTTATAAGAAAAATTGAAAGAGAGCCTAATTTCTCCTTTTTAAGTATGAAATGCTGATTCTTCTGTTGAGTTTATACAAGTAAATATTCATTTTAATTTGGGGGTTATTTTTCTCCCTTTTTAAGTGATGTTATTATCAAAATAAGTTATTTAGGCTCCGTTTGAGTCACATTAATAGGAAAATGAGGATGAAAAAGTTCCACATAAGAGATAGATTTTTAAATATGATGGTTTGACGTGATGTATAACAGTCATATTTTTTTATTTTAATGAGTGAATAATGAAAAACAAACGGGGGTTTAATCTCTTCTTTAACGAATAAAAGTGGAACCTGTTCCTGCATACCTTCCCTTTGCCTGGCAATCAAAACCAACATTATGATAGGAAACAACGCATCTTCTCCATATAGAGTTCAAATCCCAAAGGCAATCATCAAGTGAATCGTATCTTTTTTGTGTTAGTTAGCCAAAGTTGCTCCTTGATTGCTAGGGAGGGGCTCGGCCTTTGAACCGTAAGTGGGATGAGTTAAATCTTGCACATCTTGGCGTTGGTTGGAGCCCTTTCATGAGTCGGTCCTCTTTCTTCTAATGTAGTAAATTAACGAATAAAAACTATCTGATTCTCAAGAAGTGCACAAGATGTAAGATTTATAAATTGAACCGAATGGATCTTGGTTGTAGAGAGTTGGGTTGGGGCCAAAGAAATGCTATTTAAAAAATAATAATAATAAATCTATTGATTCGACCTTTATCTATTTCTTATTAAAATTATTCATATTTTTAACCATTTTACCTTCACAATATGGCCTGACATGCTTTGTACATGTTACTTTTCTCGTTGGACGACTGACATTACTGAAAGATTGTGGATGTGGCAGTAAGTAGCTCTTTTTTAAATATGGAAGATTATTATGCAATTTGAGCAATAGATTGGAAAGCAGCTCTACAATTTTATAAAATTAGTATTAAAAGTTTTCTAAACTATTAATTTTTACTAAATAGTTGTTAAATTATGAAAAGTTTAGACCTTGCGTAATAGTTTCTTCTAGTTTTTTCAATGATTTATAAAGAGTAAACAAATAAAAAGATGGTTTTGGAGGGAGAAAATGGAAGTTGTTTAGAATGTTTCGCTCTTTATAACTTTATTTTTATAATTTCTAAACTGTCCTTTTTTTTTTTTTATTGATTATGCTTGATCTATGAAGGAGATTAACAAGATCGTAAATGCAGGAACCATTACCTCGACAATCTAGATGGATATGTAGAGGCTTTTTCCTTGAGGTTTTCCATCCGACATTGCTCTATCTTCTTCCGATTTCAATTGTATCTTTTGTCTGGATCTCATTCTATTTCAAGCTTACCAATTGTTGGATTTTTGTTGTAGACATCTTGCCAGAGTGGAGCTTCCATTAACGAACTATTTCATAAGGTATCCCTAGCCTTTTTGTCTGATATGATCTCACAAGTAATTAATTCAGTAATAAATCATGCTAAGTAACTTTTGTGGAACTCTCATCTTCTTGCCTTATATCAGTCAATATTGTAGCCAGTGCCTGTCCCAACCTACTTCCAACGAACATCCATAAGAATGCCTGCTTCATTTGTAGCCAACTTTTGATCAAGCTTAATGTCGACTTACTATAGCATCATTTAGTTAGTGCATCCAATGTCGAATGGAAACCTTGAAATTTTAGTGAAGGGCTCACCTTCTTCAACCTCATTTGTGCCATGTATTCAAAAAGATGGTACATCAAATCATCATTTCCATTATATTTTTATTACATGATGGATAAAATTATTTGAAATTGTCACCTCGTTAATTTCCTTCGAGAATGACAGGTGATCATCGTCATTATCCAACTCATGTGATCTTACAGGTCGATCTTCATATTCCTCATACAAAGGAGTGTTACATGAAGTTTTGACTAGGCCTTTGCTCCCCAACCTCACAACAATAGGTTGTCTATACCTCCTACCATGAAAGTTCACCTTAGAGGCAAGCCTCTTCAGTGCGGGCTCATTCACAAGCCGTTCCTTTTGCCTTCTTTTCATCATACTATCACAAGTTTTTAATACTTACAAATTACTTCTATTTCGTGAAAAAGCTAATAATAGGCTCTACTTCATTCTCATCGGTTTTACCCTATAAACTCACTTTCGAATTTTTAAATTTTGCTCGCAGATATGTGTTCTATGTTGTTGGTGCTTTAAGATTTTTTGCCATCACGTATATCATTTTTCCTGTAGACATCTTCTTCCATAGATGATGGCGTTGAGAGGGAGAAATTCTAGCTAGAAAATTTGTCAGTATTTTTTTCTACTTTCAATTTGAATTTCCATCACCGTTCACTTAATCATCGCTATGCTTCTCTAATCTAAGTTCCAGTGCTTTTACTTCCTCGGGATTCACTTTCGTGTGGCTCATTTTTTTGCAGATTTCAATGATTTCTCAACTTCAATGGACAGATTCGTTGTTTTTTGGCTCAGTTTCCCATAGACGGAATCATTATAAAGAACGACATGTAGCGATCATTTAATATGGATGCATAACTAATTCTATTATACATTCATATATTATTCTTCAACTTACATGTCCTTTATTCATTAGTTTAGAAGCTATGCTTAAAATACTCACAACATGTTTTTATAAAAGTTTCTTTCAACCTGAAATTCAAGAGGGATAATTAGCTCCTCTTTCAAGGGAGCTTTTATGTTTAACTTTCATTAACCTTTACTTATTTCTAAACTTCGCTAAATAGGTACATGAGCTTGTTTGGGTTCATTTTCTTAACTCAATAGTAACCAACTAAATTTACGATTTTCCACCATTCTTTGAGTCCACAAAAAAATGGTAAAATCCAAAGGTACTTAAATAACTGATTTGTGCCATCGTCGCACAATCCACCAATCGATGTACAATCCAAAGACATTATAATTTTGCCCAAAAAACTCATTTCAGCACAACTTTATCTATACAAAAATGTGGATAATCAAAGCTGCCACTCCCTATCTACGTCCACTGCAGTGCTTTTTCGATTGACTCGATGTTTCTTCGTATAAATTCTAAACAAACATTATGATAAGCCAAACCTTTGCTTAAGCCGCCATCTTGAAACCCTTCCAAGATACTAGTGCCCTTCTCCCTCGATGTCCATATAAAAAGAGTAACTACTGCCTTGGCACAATAGCTATTGTTGGATTATCTTTCAGTCTTAGTTCCCTCCTAAACCATAATATACTACTAGCCTTTGATACGGTCCCAAGAATTTCAAATATTCCTAATAGAGAAAAAATAATTCTATATTGGTTTAATTATTGGATTGACAATATTATTTAGACTCGATACACTAATATAGGTTGCATGACGAAAACTATAAACTAAGAAGTTGATTTTGAGCGCCAACAATGTCAATTTTGAACATGGAGATTCTTGGGATGGGGATGGAGATGGGAGATTTGGGGAAGAAGATGATGAAATAATTTTTGTGGTTGAAAAATGAATTTTGGGATTATCCCTTTTTAATTTTGGTGAATTTAACTCTTCTCCTAACGGACTTGGACGACGAGGGTTTTTCTCCTCTCAAAGGTCATACACGGGGGTGTTCTGTCACTTTATAAAGATAGGGTGTATTCCACCATATCCAAAGGATAGGGGAATTTTGTGCCAGTATGTCAAAACTTTAAATATAAATTTTTTAACCTAACTTTATGGTTCTTTTGTGTAATTAAATATACAAAACGAGCTTTAATATTAAAAAAAAAAAACTTTAAATAAAAGTATTTTACTTCATGTTATCTTATACTATGGTTGCAACTAATTTGAACTAGTCAAAATTATAATTTTTTATTATTTTTTTTAAATTTGTCTTGTTCATTTATAATCTTTGTAAAATCGTATTTCATTAAAATCAAACACGTTTTATACAAAAATCTAAAAGGATAATTTCTTTACACTACCATCTAACTAAAAATAGGGAAAGAATCCTTAACCAATCAGTACAGAGAGGTAAAAAATCTAGTTTAATAACATGTTTGCGTACGATAAATCAAGATTACGTATATACCCTTTGTTTGAAACCAATTTTAATATTAAATTTTGTAAAAAGTTATTTTTTAAAGAGTGTGTAATCAAAAGATGAAACCATTTTGAATTTATTATGTAAAATTATTTTATTAAGAAAAAAGTACAATTAAAAATAAATTTGAAAATAGAAAATGAAACTCGATTCTTTACAAAATGGGTCCAGAAAAAAAAAAAACAAACGTCACAATGACCTGTTTCATTTAGAATTAGAAAAAAGTGCAATTTTTTTCCCGATTCATTCTACAACTCTTAACGCAACTCTTAACTCGTCAAACCTCATGAAGTCATTGCTTCCTTAGCAACAACAAAAACCATAAATACCCAAATTGTATCCCATTTTAACTGGATTCTCCAAAAAAATCCAGCCCGCGACCACTTATTCTCCAAAATCTAGTTCAATTTTCCGCCAAGTTTTGGCATTTTTACTCGTTTGCTGCTCCCTATTAACCAAAACCCTAGCCCTCTAGGGTTTTGTTTTCTGGTTCTGGGTCAAGAATGGAGGATACGGACGAGAGAAAGCTATTTGTGGGTGGTATTTCGTGGGATACGACGGACGAAATTCTTAAAGAGCATTTTAGTAAATATGGGACGGTGATTAGCTCTGTGATTGCAAAGGACCGGAATACGGGCACCCCCAGAGGTTTCGCTTTCATCTGCTTTTCGGAATCTTCTGCCGTTGAGCTTGCACTCCAAGATTCCCATGAAATTCTTAGAAGAATGGTCTGTAGATATTCCACTTTTTTTGTTTACATTTTCCAGTTATTTTTTTTCCTAATAGGGTTCAAGTTTTAATCTTTAGGATTTTTCGATACATGGGTTTTTTTTTTTTTTTTTGGTTGTAATACAGTTTAAATTTTGAAATTCATAGGCTTTTCGGTTTGCAAATTGTGGCTTGAACATTTTTTATCCTATATTTTACATATGTACGATTATTTGCTTCTCCTCCCCTCGCCCCACCCTTTCATGATGAGGTGTCATGTATTAACTCCTTTAAGGGTTTGCTGGATGTGCGGTGTTTTCTCCACTTTTTATAAAGAAAGATCCAATTTTTTTTCCTTGGATGCCTAGGTTGTGTTTATCTTTATATTATTTCGCTATTTGTTGGTCGTGTACGTTGCCCCTTATTTCTCATCTTTTATATTTCGTCATTTCTTAATGGAAAAGGGTAAACGTTTAGTTTTTTTCTTGCTTATATTATCTCATGACTCACTGTGTTGATTTTTGTCCTATTTGCTAATTCAGCTCTAAGATTATTGTACATTTTTTTTTTTTAATCCTCCGTTAAGTATAAATAAACAGATATCTCTTCAATGGAAATTTTATTTCTTTTTTGATTCTGTTAAAGATTTTTAATCTTCATTTGATTTACCCTCCCTAGTACTTAAGTTTCTTCTGATTTATTATTGTGCTGAGTTTTGTTAGAGAACGTTGTGTATGCAACACAGTGAAAATTGTGTGTTTAATAAAAGTGTCTTGTGTTATCTTGTATGTTAATTTTTATTTTATGCACTCTCAATTGTTATGAAGCATACTTATGCTAATTGGGTGCCTTCTTTTTATTAAATTTTGTCTGCCATGTCTTTTAATAGGTAGACGTGAAAAAGGCAATTCCCAGAAGTGAACAACAGCAAAGTCAACAGCAGCATAATAGGGGATTGAGTAGGGATACTAGGACTAATGGTAGGAGCAATGATAAGTTTAGGACGAAGAAGATTTTTGTAGGAGGTTTATCAGCTAACCTAACTGAAGAAGAATTCAGAAGTTACTTTGAGAAGTTTGGTACAATTACTGATGTAGTTATTATGCAGGATAGTATGACCCATAGGCCAAGGGGTTTTGGGTTTATCACTTTTGATTTGGAGGATTCTGTTGAAGATGTTATGAAGAAGAACTTTTACGAGTTGAATGGAAAGCTCGTGGAGGTCAAAAGGGCTGTACCTAAGGATGGAATTAGCAGTAGTAACAATGGTTCTAATGGAAGACCAGGTGGTGGAAGTGGCTCTAATTTTAACTCTTATCAGCTAGGAAGTTACCCGACTTATAACCCGTATTACCCCTCTGGATATGGCAATGTTGCTGGGTACCCTTATGGAACTGGAACTTATGGTGGTGGTTATCCCTCTGGAGGGTATGGTGGACTTGGTTATAATCTCACTCCAATTGCTCCTAGGAGTCCTTGGAATGCTTCTGCAATGATTGGAGTTGGGGGAAGTTTGTTGCATTATGGTAGTACAACTCCCATCTATCCCTCGTACTTGAATGGTGGTGCTGGAGTAATGGGCTTTGCTGTCAATGGATATAATGGCATTTTGGGAACTGGATTCAATGGAAAATCAGCTCAACTTGGTAACACAGATACTCAAGGTGCAGTTGAGCAAATGCCTAGTCAGACTAGTAGGGGTAATGTAGACGATAATTTTTATAGTTCTAGTCAAACTGATGGAGCTGCTGCTGATAAACAGAATCAAGAACGGAATGATGAGCAATTTAATTCTGAGCTGGTTGGTATTTCTAGCTGACTGCTTGTGGATATTGACAGGTTAGTAGTTTCTCGCATTGAGGGGGTTGGGGTTGACTTGCTATCATTATTCAGATGTTCTTTCATTATGTGTATTTTTAATTCTTATAAAGATTTGGCTTGCATTGTGTCATATTTAGTGTCAATAATTCATGCATTCAGGATTCAGACTACTGTATTAGAATTCTTTTATGTTTAAATGTTCATGGTGATTTTCCATTCTCACTGGTAAAATATTGGTGGCGATTCCCTTGGAAATCAAAGGTTTTCCCAATGGGAACTGGTTTCTGCAGTTTAGCGTTTGTAACGTGTGCTGGTTTTAGTCCATCTTTATTTAACAATTCCTTTTCTTGTTATTACAGTTATTTTTCTAATTCCTGAATTTTTCTTTCTTTTTTGCTTCCTCCGGATTTTCTTATCAGCTGCTAGGTAATTTTTCTAGATGTTTGATCTGGTTACACTTGCAATATTCAAATTATAACTATTTTGCTGTATTTGGTCCGCATGTTTACTTGCATCCTATGCAATTAATAACACTGTTCTTAAAATTATGTTCAAAGTTAGAATTACCTATTTTTCTATAACTTACTCCGTTTTGGGAAATCTATGTATCATTTATAAATGATCAAATTTCATCTTCAACCACATTCAAATTGACCATCAAGTACCATCTACTTATTCACCACTCATTTCTATCTATTTATAAATTAAACTGTTTATAAATTATCCTCCAAATGGATGCTTAGAGATTCTTTTGTGATTCTTCAAAACTTGGTTGTGTCATCATCTCTTCCCTTTAAAGTTACCTATTTTTATCTCAATAACTCAAATATTTTTGTTTTAGGTCATGAAATGTTTGAAATGTGCTTGTACTTGTTGGAGGGTTCCAGCCTTTGCGTTCTTGTTGGCTGGTTAAACTTTTACCTGTAATCTCTTACTATGCTGTTTTATGTAATTCCTTATTTTATTTCTTCCTGAGCTGAGTTGATTTTGATTGTTGGCTAGATAGTTCTTGTTGGATTAAAATATTGAATTATGACTGTTAACCAAAAAAGGGTGAATGAATTCTTGGTTGTTTAGAATAATTTGCTTCATCTTGTCGAGATATGTATTCAATATCTGATAGGTGGGGGTGGTTGTGGGGGGTGGGGGCGGG